TCCCGGCTGACACAAATCCTTTGCACATCACTCCACATCAATGGCTATAGTGATGATCTTTTTGCGGAAGAACTATTGTTGTCGCTGGTTAAATTTATGTATAAACTTCGAATTCTCAGCGGGTGTTAAGGAATATTTTCCTCAACTCAATAATTCCTTTCTTTTTTTTCCTAAACATTACCCTGTATAGCTTCGGAAAGCAATGTTTGATTCGACAATTTCGACTGAAGACGATGTTGCCGGCATGCGTATTAACGATAATGACGAAGTAGAAATTGAAAATAGGAGTTACTGTTATTTCAATCGTTGTTATGTTCAAAATAAAAACAAGCGTTTGCGTCAGCCGGGATTCGAACCCAGATCTCACTCTTTCCGAGTGTCGGTGGGGCAACGGTTAGCATACGCTCCCGGAAAGAGTGAGATCTGGGTTCGAATCCCGGCTGACGCAAACGTTTTTGCACAGCACTCCACATATTGGGTATACTATAACATCATACCACTGCAAGTGACAGTCAAAATAGAAAGAATTTAGACTGTTCAAAAACAAGAGCTTGCTTGCCCGTTCTTTTTTTATTGTATAAATCAAACCGCTCCTATTTGTGAAATTCTAGAATAATTGATATTTAGGAAATACTTAATATTAGAGTATATGATGCAACGGTGAGAGATTTCTGACGTCGCACACAAAGTCGATGGTCCGATCCCGCGCTAATGGCTCACCAAACCACCCATCCCTCTGGGTCGACAAATTGGTACCAGACTTGTCTGGGAGGATAAGCAGCACTGTTTAGTACATCGGTATGCCCCCACAAGTCCTTGCAAGGGCCATGTATGCATTCACTTTTGTCACTATTGATCCCTCTTCCCAGCATTTTTTTTCACTGTGCGGATCCCAGTACTTCTAGCATTCCATTCATTTTCTCTTGTTCTGGAACATCGTAGAATACTGGCTGGGCAAGGCTCTTTGCAATCTCGAGATAGCCTGGCTGTGACATTCCATAGGGCGTTGTTGTTGACTGCCGGAGAGAGCTGGGAGGGGGGGGGGGAGGGTGGAGCTCGGATATACGCGCGCCGCGACAAGCATCACAACCACTCGGCCATAGCGCTCCTGCATGGCTTATTTCTAAGCGATCGATCAACGCCGGCAGTTTTACCCATCATCATTCAAGTGCTATCCTTTTTACAATAGCATTTCTGACTTCAGTAACTTCCTTGATATCTTGAAAATGACGGAGAAAAAGGTGAAATCCACCTCCTTTCCTGAAAGAAAAGAGAAAAAAGAAAAAATAAGCCTGAATATTACTCCGAAAAATATCAAAAGATTCTGATTTGTAGAGTTTTTTGGGCATCAATGATTACTTAATCAAATAGGAGGACTTTGATTAGCATTCAAAAAGGTTTTAGGTAGAATACTGGCAATAATTCTGGAGTAATTTAGTGCAGCTCACAAATAAATAATATGGACGCGAAGCCATGGAAACGTCTACTGGTGGTCAACAGCAGACGTACAATGCCTTCCGCAATTGCAGAACTCGCATTTAGTACGACGTCAAAAGAAGACAGAGAGAGAAAAGGGAGGGGCGGAAAAGAGAGAGGAAAAGGGCGGAAAAGAGAGAGGAAGCGGGGCGGAAAAGAGAGAGGAAGAGGGGCGGAAAAGAGAGAGAGAGAAGAGGAGAGGAGGAGAGAAGAGAAAGAGAGAGGAAGAGAAAGAAAAGGAGAAAGAGAATGAGAAAGAGAGAAAGATTAAGAGAAACTGCTAAAGGGAACTGAGAAGAGTCAGCTGTCAAATAAAGTTTAATGTAAAAGAAGAAAATCAGGGATAAAGAAAAAGAAAAACACGAAGAGAAAGAGAAGAGGAAGAGAAAGAAGGAGAGCGAAAGAGTAGGAGAAAGAGGGAAAGAGAAGAGAGAGGAAAGAGGAAGCGAGAGAGAGAGAGAGAAAGAGAGAGGGGGAGAAAGAAGAGGTTATGCTAGCACTCGATCATTAGCACAAATGTTGACGATTCTAAAGATAAATTTGGTTTCGAAAAAAGTCTTTACAGTGCGCTGTAAAAACGAAAATAAAACTACATTTCACATTCGCAGTTTTCCTCGCATGCGAGAGTTATCATCTATCAACTGTAACCTTTCTTCTGTCGGTTTCGTGAAAAAAAAAAAACGGACCAACGGGTCGGTGGTCTTCCTTTAGAGCGCTTCACGTCCCGAGGAATTCAGTCGGTAACGGCTCTCGTCCATCAGTTGTCGTTGAAGCGCTCACGTGTCCGGCCCACCTTATTTTCGATATCCTGACGTGTAGAACGGCGTCTCAGAATTTCGATCGTTGACGTAGGTTGAAACTTCGGATCCTTTCTCTCATTTGCGAGATACGGGATACTCCTAGCATTGACCTTTCGACTGCGCGCCAAATAACGCAAGTGATCTTTCATCCTGCTTACGTAGCTACCAGGTTTCTGCTGCATACGTTAGGGCAGGGATAATTGTCGAGTCGAAAAGGTGGGCACGGAGTCGGATGTTCTTTGTCCTCTTCACTACATCTTCGATGCTCTTAAACGTTCCCCAAGCCGCTCGTTTCCTCCTGCTCAACTCTGGGGCTAGGTCGTTCATCATTATGGTTCTATATGAACAAAAAGTTCATGAGATTGTAGAGATAAATGTGTTTCATCAGAGTAGTATGAAAAACCTAAAGTTCCCTCCCATACAGAAAGAAAATGGCTAAAATCGCACGCCGCGCTTCCGATACCGCTTATGGTGCCGTCAGCGAGGATTAAAAACCACCGGCGATTATGCTAGCTGAAAATCTGACGTGTTCGTCCAATTCTCCTCTGCTGTTTTTAGTGATAAGCATATCATACCACTTACATAAGCTTTTATCAACACCTGTATAGGCGCCATGATTATGTTAGTGAAAACACAGAGCATATAAAAGATGATTCTGGTAGGGTGTGATTCAGTTCACTAACATGCCTTCAGCGGCAACAAGACGACGAGGATCCAGAAGCCCTAAGCCCGGTCAAACTGTAAGAGGGCCAGTGTCCACCCTGAAGCGAATTCAGTGCTACCGTTGTGATGCTACGGCTCCGTCTCTGGTCCAAGTGTAAGAAGAAACGGCAATACCTGCATCGATTCCGCAAAGCCGAAAGAGGTGAGAACTGTGCTCTTTTTTGAGAAAACCAAACTAATTTTGGGCAAATAAAGGTATGGGATTGTCTGATGCTATTCCATGGAAATAGGGCTGAGTAAATTAGCAAACTATTAAAGTCCGCGAGGCGACGAAGATCGCCCCCGCGTTCTAGAAGTACACGCCGCAGCCGACCTCGGTACCCAGTGAGTATTAATTCAAGAGCTCGACGAAGGCACTCATCAAAAAGTGGGCGCCTTAGGAAGTCGGGATAGAAAGGAAGATGAACGGCGACGAAACCCCAAAAAGCACAGAAAAAAGTGGTTGAGTCGTCAGCGTAAGTTTTTTAACTTCTTGAAATCACAGTCCAAAACTCAATCAAACTTTCGAAGTCCTGATTAAAAATTTGTGATAAAACGACTTTGACATTGAATGTAAGTTCTCTTAAACAACTCGACCATGTAGAGATGTTTCAGACTCGCTGTGAAAACTCGAGGAACTCGGCTCCGTGATTCGAGAGGAAGATTCAAACGAGCATAGGCCGCTTGAACATCTTCCTCTATGAAGAGCGCACTCGAAATCTAGTTCATACTAACGAGAAATAAATGATTCGTGTAAGCACAAGTGTGTGGATTTTCAAGAGATATAGCGAATGAAAGATGAAACGACCGCAATACCTGTAAATGCCGCTTTGAATGATTCTTCAAGGCCAAACATGTGATCGTCAAAATTGGCGATAAATAACGTCATTTTTTCTTTTGTATCACACAATGTGTGCATCCTGATTAACGTGTATGTCCCTTCACATCAAGCTGTGTATCATTCCATAATTTCTTAAGATACAACCCTTTACAATGACGAGCCGTAGCCTACCGAGGTATCAAGTCAGTGATGCTACGCTTCAAAAAGTCTAGTACCAATTCACCAAACCCGCAAGGATGGAGTGCTTGGGAAGCCTCAACCCTTACGGTACCGTGGACCCACGGCCTCATCGTCTCTGGCCTTCACTGCGTCGCGTCTAACAATGGCGTCTAGCTCCAATGTTGCGTCAACAATGGCTGACGCCAATAAACGCCATTGTAAGAAGCCATGCATTTAAGGACAGAGATGCGGAGGCCTTGGGCCCACGGTTTCGTAGGGGTTAAACGTGGGACGCGCCTAATGTGAAAAATAATTTTACTTTTTACTGCTACAACGCACCAGAAAAAGCTTTTCAGAAATGAAGTACAACAGTGAAATCGTTGAGATCTAAGCTATTGACGAATTACTAAAGCTGTCGAATGAAAGCAGAAGTGTTTCACATAGCGTCGAAATGCATGGCCGATTACGGACTAGTAGCAAATCCTTTAGCCTAACGCGGTTTTGATGGTGAAAACTGTCGGAATTGCAAGCGATTTTCGTATCGCAATCGTTTTGGGACGTCTGGCGATTAGTGAAATATTACTGAGTCTCTAAGACAAAATCAGCTTATTTCATGTACTCAAGAGACATCCGGTATGTTGCTCACCATACAGGTTTTCAATTCTTCCCAAAAAGGAGATGCTATGGTGTTAATTGTAGAAATTCTTGAACAGAACTGAATGTACTTTCTTATCCAATGCAATACTCTTTACGGCTTGTATCGACTGAATAAATGAAAGAGTTCAAAGCTCAAAAAAGAGAGTCGTGGGAGAGGGGCGAGGGGCTGTGGGAGGCCAGTGATTAGTGATACTTGGCGAGGGGTTAATTTTCTTCTTCCTCAAACACTCTCCCAAACGATGAAAAACGCTCTAAGGAAGAATTATAAGACCTAGTAATCGAAATTTCACGTATTTTCACTGCATTTTTCGCAATATTATCGTGTTTCGTATATATCTAAGAGAATTGGGTGGTCAGCAAAAACCAGCCTCAGGCGGGAATTTAACCCGCGTTTCATCCATGCCGGGGACGCGTGCTACCGCCACCTCAGCACGGAGGCACATTTGCGCCACCACTTATTCTTCAACATCTCTAAGTTAGCTATCAACCACCAGCCTTCAACAGGTTCGGTCGAGTATGCGATTTCGCTTTATAAACCCAGTTGGGCTGACAGCCATTGTAATAAGTAATACTTGAAAATTCCAATATTTTCGCTGCAATTTTTTGCAATGTTATGATGTTCCGTATATACCTAAGAGAACTGAGTGGTGGCAAAAACACGACCTCAGGCGGGAATCGAACCAGTCATCTATACCGGGACGGGTGCTACAAATACCACACCACAAAATTTCGAGTATTAGTTATTACAATTGCTGTCAGCTTAACTAGGTATAAAAAGCAAAATCGCATACCCGACCAAACCCGTTGAAGGCTGATGATTGATAGCTAACTCAGAGATGTTGAGGATTGAGTGGTGGCGCAAATGTGCCTTGGTGGTGTAGTGGTATAGCACGTATCTCCGGAAAGGAAGAACTGCGGGTTCGATTCCCGTTGAGGCCATGCTTTTGCTCACCACTCAGTTCCCTCAGGTATATAGCCAGTAATATTAAGTGATGATTATAATTTTGAATACCAAACAGGATTTTAATTGTCATCTCATGCTTTGCGAGGGCGCATGCCAATCATTGCACTGCCAGCACTCCTGCTTTGCCATCATTCCTTCTTCGACACAATTGCATCGATCTGTTCTTAGGAATGCCCTTCTTGGTTATGCTCGACAGTGTAAGGAGATCTGTTCCGGTATTATCACATGGCCTGCATAAAAAAAAAACCTTCAAGCAGGCGATGAATACAAGAAGACGAGGCGAAATCTAGAAGTGCTGAGATGCTCACAGTGTAAGAAAAAACTGTGAAGATGGGCACAAAGAATAAGATTTGAAAAAAGCCTGCAACAACTCAATACCGCCAAAGCGTCAGCCATATTTCTTTGTTGTGCTTAGTGGGTGTTCAATAAGCCCTCTACTACCAACAGCCTCGCATCTGCTCATTAATGAAAAACACTGAGCCATTCTTCGTATGTCGCAGTTAATCCCTACAGTACAATTTGTATCTAACACTTCATGCGAGACCTGCTATCTATTATCCTTTAGGGATCATGGACCCAACCCTCTGCGTATCCAACCTCCAGCGTGCTGGAAATGGCATGCTCAGGTTAGACGCCATTGTTAGACACAACACGCTGAGGGGTTAGACACGTGGAGGGTGGGGTCCTTGGTTTCCTCTGGGATAACAGATAACCGACCTCGCGTGAAGTGCTAGATATAAATGGAAAGAATACGAGAACAAAAATATTGCTTCCAGTAAGAGCAACGATGGATAATAAAGCGATCACCGAGAGCTTCTTGAACTTCGTCATTTGATAAGTGGATCGCTTATACCCTGAATTTTCATAGATAAAAGCGGTCAGTGCTGAGAAGTAGTACTTAATAGTAAATTTAGTAATTTCGTTAACTTAGCAATTTTCCAGTAATCTTTACTACTTTACTAATCATATTTCTTCTTCTCCTTATATCTACCTTTTAGTAAATTTACTACTGCGAAGGAAAAAGTTCCTTAACACTCGCTAAAATTTCAAATTTTATGTTTGTTTCACATAGTTTAGGCCATTTTAAACTCATGGGAATATCTCAGTAACTGCTGTTTCTAGGGTTCAACGGGAATCGCTTGACAAGAGCATTTAGAGACTGGAACTCCCGGGATGTTAAGCGCCCCACAAGAAGACCACCGACCTGATGGTCCGATTTTTTCACGAAAAGCCTAAAAGAAAGATATAACACGCAGCAAATCCCTAGAGTGAGGACCCATTGGGGAACTCTCGCACATGATAGGGGGAGATGGAAGCGTTGGTGGCCGCTCGAGTCACTCGACGATCCACGGGACGACAAGTGAAAAAGGTGATCCCAGGATTATTCCCATGAGACTGCAGCAGGACTCAGCCTACGATGTGCTGAAGAAAAAGTACCAGACATTGATTCATCGAAGGCAAGCAAAGAAGATTCAGCAAGACAATGCCAAACCTAACACCGAAAGAGGACTAGGGAAAAGTTTGATGATTTGGAGGGAGTCGAGCTCTTGCCGTATCCAGCCTACAGTTCAGATGCTGATCGTCCGATATCGGGTCCTACTCCGCCAAATGGAACATTTCCTGTGTGGACGCTGATTCGAGACATTTGATGAAGGCGAAGGCATGTCATTTTTTGATTCAAACCCAAGGAGGTACAATTTCGAGCAGATCTGAAAGCTTGCAGATCGTCGGTAAAAATCGGGGATAATGATGGTCTTCGAATACAATTTCTCTTCATTCAACTGCTTATAGCGGCAGTATGATGTTATAAACAAACACTTATATGTGGAGTGACGTGCAAAATATTTGCAGCAGGCAGAACTTGAACCAGCATTCCACTCAATCCGGAGATGCGTGCTCTATCCTTACAACGCCTGTTTTGACACCACTTCTACGCTACAACGCATCTATCTACCAGTAAGCAACCGTCAACGATTTGGTCCAGGCAGTCGCTGTGAATTTGAACCCAGTCATGCTAAAATGGACATTACATGATCAAACCACGGACCTCCCTCTTTGAGGGATCCCGCCCGGTTAGTCGCGAGGGCACGTGGCGCGTCCCCAGGTGGTGGATAGGGGAATAAAACGCGAACCAAAAGCGACCGTGTGCTTCCCAGAGACGCAGGTGGATTCAGGGGACGAGCTCCCTGCTTCTGCAGTGCCGACTTGACAAAACTCTACTTCTACGAGTCAAGTCGACCAAAAGCCTGCAATCAAGCGGCTGGGAAGTACATGGGAGGCGGTTAGGAGTCGCCTCCAACAAATAAGCTCCTCCCGCTCCTCCGAGAGAGACTGGCAAGCTACTCGTGAGTACCCAGCCCCACGTTTAGAGCCTGGCAAGCTACACGTTGGGTATCAAAAATGCCAAAAACAGTAACAAATACGGGCCTCATTCCCCTGACCCCGAAAGAGCCCCTGGTACGGCAGCGCCAGGTAGGACGAGTACGGAGAGGCTGCTAAAATCTCAGGGCCGAACTAGGCTGCCAAGATCGAAACGGACTAAAATGACGATCTGTACCTACAATGCAAGAACCCTTGCTCAACAATCCGCTGTAGAAGATCTGTTGATTCAAGCAAGAAGAATAAGGTACGACGTCATTGGCCTGGCTGAGAGGAGAAGGCGCCATCCTTTTCACGCTGTCTATGACACCGGAGAAGAACAGTTCCTTAGAACATGCGATCGCAGAGGTGTCGGTGGCGTTGGCGTCCTCGTCAAATCGAATTTGACCGTGAACATTGATTCGTTCGAACAACTAACAACCCGCATCGGACGATTACGGTTGAAACGATGTGGTTCTACGCCGGCTTTGACCATCTTCGTTGCTTACGCACCAACATCAAGCTATGACAAGACGAAGTCGAAGCGTTCTATATGGACCTCGAAAAATTCTTCAGAGAAGATCATACATTCTTCGAGGTCATTGTCTGAGATTTTAACGCAAAAATTGGACCTAGAAGAACGTCTGAAGAACGTCACATAGGGACCCACGGACTAGAATGGAATGAACAGGGTGAGAGGCTATCCGAGTTTATCATGACGACCCAAACCATCCATGGTAACTCGCAATTCCAAAAGCCTCTTTCTCAGCGATGGACGTGGGAGTCTCCCAATGGAGAGTACCATAACGAAATAGATCACATCATAGTAAATTGAAGGTTTTGCCTGACCGACGTCGCTGTTGTTCCCAAGTTCGACACGGGATCAGACCATCGCCTCCTTCGCGCAACGTTCCGATTTTCAAGGAGAGGAGAGAAAGCCGCTAAATTCAAACAACGAAGTCCCAGAACTACCATAAACTGGGATGTATTCAAATCATTAGTCGGCTCTTGGGAAGATACCGTTGTCGACAACATCGACGAAGAATACGATCGACTCGTTGAATATCTTCACGTTGGCGCCAAAAAAGCCGAAAGTCCTAAGGTCACGAAGAGACGCTTGTCTCCGCAGACACTCGAGCTGATACGTCAACATGGAATCGCACGAGCCGCAGGCAACCGAAACCTTACGTCCGAACTTGCGAAACGATGCAGAGAAGCGATAAAAGAAGACCTTAAAGAGAGAAGAGCAGCAGTTATGGCAGAAGCTGCAGAAGCTGGGAAGAGCATTCGCAAAGCCCAGCGAGGCTTCGCCAACTATAAGACCAAGATGATTGCACTCCGATACCCTGACGGGACACTTACAGCTTCCAGAAGGGCTATGGAGAAAATCATCCACCAGTACTACTCGGATCTCTTCGCTAGCCATGTTCTCTTACCGTCATATAAATTGAAAGAGGACGAATATGTCGTTCCACCGGTCCTTCCTTCCGAAATCCGACATGCTATATCGTCGGTGAAAAACAGTACAACACCCGGTCCAGACAGGATTAGACCAGAACACCTGAAGAACTTGCCGCCAGTTCTCATCAACACCCTGGCTCGGCTCTTCACTCGCTACCTGTCAGAATGCAAGGTCCCTATTCAATGGAAGACCAGCAAGACCGTATTGTTGTTCAAAAAGGGAGACCTTCACGACATAGGCAATTATCGCCCAATCTGCTTGCTGTCTGTTGTCTATAAACTCTTTACTCGAGTTATCCTGAACAGGATTGACAGAACACTGGACGAAGGACAGCCATGCGAACAAGCAGGGTTCAGAAAAGGATTTAGTACCATGGACCACATCCACACGATCACAAGACTCATTGAAGTTTCGCGAGAGTACAAACAACCACTCTGTCTCACTTTTATCAATCTGAAAAAAGCCTTTGATTCAGTGGAAACAGAAGCGGTTATAGAGGCTCTGAGTAACCAGGGCATCCCTACTCGGTACATAATGATCCTTCGTGAGCTTTATAAAGATTTCACGACCAGAATATCTCCATTCTACAACAATATCACCATTGACGTAAGAAGAGGGATTCGATAAGGCGATACAGTATCGCCAAAACTATTCACTGCCACCCTACAAAACGTCATGCGAACATTAGAATGGGACGAAATGGGAGTGAAAATTGACGGTCGACAATTAAACCATCTTCGCTTTGCTGACGACATCGTTCTCATAACACCAAACATCAGCCAAGCGGAACGAATGTTGACTGATTTCGATAACGCCTGTGGAAAGATCGGTCTTCAACTGAATCTAACGAAAACAATGTTCATGAGGAACGGATGGGTTTATAATGCCCCATTCACGCTCAACGGAACGACAATTTCCGAATGCTCCAGTTACATCTATCTAGGTCGTGAAATCAACATGATGAACGACCTAGCCCCAGAGTTGAGCAGGAGGAAACGAGCGGCTTGGGGAACGTTTAAGAGCATCGAAGATGTAGTGAAGAGGACAAAGAACATCCGACTCCGTGCCCACCTTTTCGACTCGACAAATATCCCTACCCTAACGTATGCAGCAGAAACCTGGTCGCTACGTAAGCAGGATGAAAGATCACTTGCCGTTATCGAACGCGCAGTCGAAAGGTCGATGCTAGGAGTATCTCGTACAAATGAGATAAAGGATTCGTAGTTCCGACCTACGTCAGCGATCGAAAATCAGAGACGCCGTTCTACACGCCAGGATATCGAAAATAAGGTGGGCCGGACACGTGATGCGCTTCAACGACAACCGATGGACGAGAGCCGTTACCGACTGGATTCCTCGGGACGTCAAGCGCTCTAAAGGAAGACCACTGACCCGTTGGTCCGATTTCTTCACGAAAGCGATGGAAGAAAGATATGATGCTCAGCGAATTCCTAGAGCAAGGAGGACCCACTGGGCTACTCTTGCACGCGATAGGGAAAAATGGAAGAGTTGCTGGTACCCGCTCGAGTCACTCGACGATTAACGGAACGACAGGTGATACAGGTGATTACTAGGTAGATAACTAAGGAAATCAAGTGGTGAGCAAAACACGACCTCAGCGAGAATCGAATCCGCGTTCCATCCTATCCGGAGACGCGTGCTCTACCACTACTCCATCGAGTCACATTTGCCCCACCACTCATTCTTCAACATCTCTAAGTTCGCTATCAACCACCAGCCTTCAACAGGTTTGGTCGGGTATGCTATTTCGCTTTATAAACCCAGTTGAGCTGACAGCCACTATAATAACTAATACTCAAAGTTTTGTGGTGTAGTAGTAGTAGCACGCGTCTCCGGTATGGACGAAACACGGGTTCGATTCCCGCCTGAGGCAATGTTTTTGCTTACCACTCACTTCTCTTAGTTATATATGGAACATGATAATACTGCGAAAAATGCAGTAAAAATACGAGGAATTTTGATCACTAGGTATTATATTTCTTCCTTATAAAGTTTTTGATCGATTGGGAGAGTGTTGGGGGAAGGGGAAAATTAACCCTCGCCGAGCATCACTAATCACTGGCCACCCGCAGCCGCTCGCCATTCTCAAATGACTCGATTCTTTTGAACTTTGAACTCTTCTAATTATGAAGTCACGACAAGCCATACAGAGTACTGCAATGGATTGGGATGTACATTCAGTTGTCTTCAAGAATTTCGACTAGCATCTCCTTTTAGGGAAGAACTGAAAACTTGTATGGTGAATAACATACCGGATATCTCTTGAGTACATGAAATAAGCTGATTTTGCTTAGAAACTCAGTAATATTTCACTTATCGCCAGACGTCTCAAAACGATTGCGACGGTAAAATCGCTTGCAAACCCTACAATTTTCACCATCATAGCTGGTTTAGGCTGAAGGATTTGCTACTTGTCCATAATTGGCCATGGATTTCGTCGCTTTGTGAAACACTTCTGCTTTTATTCGACAGATTTTGTAATACGTCGATAGCTTAGATCTCCACAATTTCACTATTGCACTTCATTTCTGAGAAGCCTTTTCTGGTGCTTCGTAGCAGCAAAAAGTAAAATCATGTTTCACATTAGGCGCGTCCCACGCTTAACCCGTACGAAACCGTGGGCCCACGGTTTCCGCACCTCTGACCTTCAATACGTTGCTTATAGCAGTAGCGTTTTCGGCCTCTGCCATTGTTGACGCAACACTGGGGCTAGACGCCATTGTTAAAAGCGACACATTGAAAGTCGGAGACGATGAGGCCGTGGATCCACGGTACAGTAAGGGTTGGGGCTTTTCAAACAGTCCATCCTTGTGGTTTGGTTAATTGGTACTAGGCTTTTTTTGCTAGCATAGCATCACTGACTTGATACATCGGTAAGCCACCGCTCGCCACTGTAAAGGGCCGTAGCCTAAGAAAATTATGGAATGATACACAGCTTGATGTGAAGGGACATACACGTTAATCAGGAAGCACACATCGTGTGATACAAAAGAAAAAATGACGGATCTTTATCATCATTTTTGTTGATCACATGTTTGGCCTTGAAGAATCATTCAAAGCGGCATCTACAGGTATTGCGGTCGTTTCGTCTTTCATTCGCTATATCTCTTGAAAGTCCACACACTTGTGCTTACACGAATCATTTATTTCTCGTTAGTATGAACTAGATTTCGAGTGCGCTCTTCATAGAGGAAGATGTTCAAGCGGCCTATGCTCGTTTGAATCTTCCTCTCGAATCACGGAGCCGAGTTCCTCGAGTTTTCACAGCGAGTCTGAAACATCTCTACATCGTCGAGTTGTTTAAGAGAACTTACATTCAATGTCAAAGTCGTTTTATCACAAATTTTTAATCAGGACTTCGAAAGTTTGATTGAGTTTTGGACTGTGATTCCAAGAAGTTAAAAAACTTACGCTGACGACTCAACCACTTTTTTCTGTGCTTTTTGGGGTTTCGTCGCCGTTCATCTTCCTTTCTATCCCGACTTCCTAAGGCGCCCACTTTTTGATGAGTGCCTTCGTCGAGCTCTTGAATTAATACTCACTGGGTACCGAGGTCGGCTGCGGCGTGTACTTCTAGAACGCGGGGGCGATCTTCGTCGCCTCGCGGACTTTAATAGTTTGCTAATTTACTCAGCCCTATTTCCATGGAATAGCATCAGACAATCCCATACCTTTATTTGCCCAAAATTAGTTTGGTTTTCTCAAAAAAGAGCACAGTTCTCACCTCTTTCGGCTTTGCGGAATCGATGCAGGTATTGCCGTTTCTTCTTACACTTGGACCAGAGACGGAGCCGTAGCATCACAACGGTAGCACTGAATTCGCTTCAGGGTGGACACTGGCCCTCTTACAGTTTGACCGGGCTTAGGGCTTCTGGATCCTCGTCGTCTTGTTGCCGCTGAAGGCATGTTAGTGAACTGAATCACACCCTACCAGAATCATCTTTTATATGCTCTGTGTTTTCACTAACATAATCATGGCGCCTATACAGGTGTTGATAAAAGCTTATGTAAGTGGTATGATATGCTTATCACTAAAAACAGCAGAGGAGAATTCGACGAACACGTCAGGTTTTCAGCTAGCATAATCGCCGGTGGTTTTTAATCCTCGCTGACGGCACCATAAGCGGTATCGGAAGCGCGGCGTGCGATATTCTGATGAAACATAATTTTATCTACAAGCTCATTAAGTTTTTATGCATATATAACTCTCAAATACGTAGAAAACTCCGAATATGACGCGTAATTCAATTCTCGCTCTCACACCGCACTGTTAAGACATTTTTTTAAACCAAATTGATCTTCAGAATCGTCGACATTTGTGCTATAGATTAAGCGTAGCATAAACTAATCTTTCTCTCTTTCTCTCTCTCTCTCTCTTTGTCTTATTCTCTTTCCCTTCCTCTTTCTCTTCCTCTTCCTCTTTCTCTCTTCCTCTTTCCCCTCTCTCTGTCCGTCTCTTTTCCCTCTCTTTCTTTCTTTTCCCCCTCTCTCTTTCTCTGTCTCTCTTCGTCTTTCGTCTTCTGGTTCTCTTTCTTCCTCTTCTCTCCTCCTCTTTCTCTTTCGCTCTCTTTCTCTTTCTCTTTCGCTCTCTTTCTCTCCTCCTCGCTCAATCTCTACCTCCCTTCTTTCTCCTTCTCTTTCGCCTCTCCCCCTCTTTCTCGTCTTATTTTCTCCTCTCTCTTCTTTCTCTTTCTCTTTTTCTCCTTCGTTTTCTCCTTCTTTCTCTCCTTTTCTCTTTCCCTCTCTCATACTCTACCTTCTTATCTTCCTCCTTCTCTCCCCCTCCTTCTCTCTTTCCCTCCGTGTCTTCTTTCGACGTCGCATTGAATGTGACTTCTTTTTCTGCAGAAGCTCCGCGGTATTGTAAATCTGCTGCTCACCACCAGTGGACGTAGTTCCCCATTTATATTTATTTGTGAACTTTAGAGAATTGGTCTAGAATTGTTGTCAGTATTCTATCGTAATTCTCTTCCAATACTAATTAAGGTCAGCCTATTTGATGAAGTAATCACTGATCACCAAAAACCCCTCCAAATCAAAATCCTCTTTTATCTTTATTTAGTGAATTGATGATATTCATTATGATTTTCTTCTTTCTTTCTTCTCCTCTTTTTGTGAGAAGAAGGTGGATTTCACCTTTTTCTCCGTCATTTATGGATGCTAAGGATGTTGTTGAAGTCAGGTGTGTCACCGTAAGAAGCATAGTATTTGAAAATTAGTGAAAATTGCTGGCGTTGATCTATCCCTGAGGGATAAGCTGTGCATTCGTATCCAATTTTTAACCTCGTTTTGAGATGATTGAATGCATATCTGGCCTTCACTATGGCTCGCGGTGGCCTGCCGATGTATCAAGACAGGATATCGGAAATAAGGTGGGCCGGACATGTGATGCATTTCAACGACAACCGATGGACGAGAGCCGTTACCGACTGGATTCCTCGGGATGTCTCATGCACTCCAGGGAAGACCATGGACGCGATGGTTTAATTTTTTCCACGAAAAAACTAGGAGAAACATATGATGCTCAGCGAATTCCTAGAGCGAGAATCACCCAGTGGTCTACTTGTGCACGCCACGGGGAAAAATGAAAGTGTAGTGTTGCTGGTGCCCGCTCGAATCACTAGATGATCAACGGGACGACAGGTGACACAGGTGGCAGGTGACCGATGTATCAGGTTACTGCTGCTGTCTTATCAGACCGGTGCGGTACCAGCCTACCGACCCCGGAGGGCGATGGATGGCTTGGTGAGCTATGAACGCGACATCGGACCATCGACCTTGTGTGCCACGCAAAGCACCTCTTACGATTGCGTCACATACGCTCATATTGAGTGTCTTTTAAGAGCTCTTGTACAGCCCGATACATGTGTTTCGTCCTTACAGACTCGTCAGTTGGGCAGAGCCTTCGTCTTTCGATCTTCTTATTAGTCACTTCTCTCGGGAGCTCTGCTCCATTGCAGAGAGTTATGGAAAACGAAAGTTTTTACACTCTAAGTCAAGCGAAATTTTCACCTAACACAGAGTGTTGTACACTCGATTGCTCTTTGGCTGGTATTTTTATTACATTATACCTTCCTTTCGATTAGGGACGAAATACGTGTATCGGGCTGTACATGAGCTCTTACGAGACTACATGACAAGTTGGCTCAAATAATAATGAGAGGATCTATTGAAATTTGAGCGTGGTCTTAACAAACTCGTAATAAAGATATTTCAAAGATATTAAACACAATTTTCATAGATAAGAGCGGTTGAATTTTTGTAAGAGGAAAGAACGGGCAAGCACGCGTTTTTTCTTGAACGCCAAACAACGACAAAAGTAACATCAACTTACCTTCTCTTTTTAATTTCTACCTCGATATCGTTTTTATCGAGATTTTCAGTATCATCCAGTGCTTTCTCGAACTATGCAGGATAATGTCAGAAGAAAAGGAATTGCTGGAATGAAAAAAGTTCTTGAAGACCCCGCTTGAAATCCAAAGTTTCTACTTTAATTCAAGCAAAAACAGGGCCAACTGTTCTTTGAATTCAAGACCATCTTTATAGCCATGGATGTGCAAAACATTTGTTTCAAGCGAAAATTGAACCCCGCATTTCACCCAATCTGCGAACGCGTGATCCACTACTTGCACCATCGACGCCTGTTTTGACACCACTCTTTGTAACCCTATAGCGGAACTATTTGATCATGTATCACCTGTATCACCTGTCGTTCCGTTAATCGTCGAGTGACTCGAGCGGGTACCAGCAACTCTTCCATTTTTCCCTATCGCGTGCAAGAGTAGCCCAGTGGGTCCTCCTTGCTCTAGGAATTCGCTGAGCATCATATCTTTCTTCCATCGCTTTCGTGAAGAAATCGGACCAACGGGTCAG